TTGCATTTGATTACCTAGAAAATCAAACAGAGAGATGGTACCAGTGTTTTCCCACTCTTGAAGTCAGAAATTGTGTCTTTTCATCTTTGTACATGTAATATTGGGTCCCATGTCTGGTACCTAACAAGTGCTCCATGGAAATGAAGTCCTCTGGTTTATAAAGAGAATAAAAGTATCTTTTTAAAAAGCAATAACATAAGGAAAGATAAACAAAGTATAATAAGACATTGAGAAAGACGGAATATATTTATTTAGGCCATTTTTATGCTGTTATATTTTTCTCTGAAGGTGTTTATTCCTGATATTTCCTAATGCTGTCCTGAAAATGCTTGTTTACCCACAACTGTTGGCTGATACATGAAGTTAGAAGTCACCTTTATTTTGCTGACAGAGTCAGTATCTGTCTCCATAACATAAACTGCTTTCTTGCTCAATTTTCTGCTTAGGCCAAAAGGATCTGACTCTATAAGAACAGTTATACGGGTTTACCTTCCTGCGTACGATGATGTTTCTTTCTCTCCCTATTTGCTTATTGTCCTCTTTCAATTTTCTCTCTCCACCACTTCTGTGTGCTACTTGTTTCCTACTCATTTGAAACTTATCTTTGGCAGCCTGTTTTGTAACCTAATTTATGTGTAGAGACTCTTTCCAGCTTAGATTTGAGCCAAATATTGTAGAGATTAGAGTTGGTGGTACGTGTGTGTGTGCGCGCACGTGTCTGTGTATAGACTCAGACCCACACATGTATATTTTAAAACTGGAGAAACAGTGTGTTTGAATTTCTGTCTAGCAGAGGTTATCCATAGATGTTCTTAAAAAGAAAGTTCAGCATATATTTCTAGTGCTTGGCAGTATACTGTAAAAACCATCTTCAATGTGGTAAAGCATGTATAGTTTGCAGAGCCCTTTCTAGAAAGAATCAACATAATTGCAAATATAATTAAAAATTCAATTGAGATTTATTTTTCTGCCAATTCATTTTCATTATTTATTTGTCAAATTTTTCAACTTTGTGGGATGTTCAACATGGTCAATGCCAAAATAAATATCAGAATACTTAGACAGAAGGTACTAATAGTAGGAAGTTTCTTATTATTAGGTGCTTATGAT